TTTTTTAAGTATTTTTTGGGGCTTTTATTGCCTTTATGATAGTGACAGTTGAAGAGAGACAGGAAAGGGGGGCAGAGAGAGGGGATGACACGCAGCCAAGGGCCGCAGGTCGGATTGAACCTGTAGGCCGGAGGTGCAGAAGTGACTAGCCTTTGGTACATGGGTCGCCAGCTCTACCCACTGAGCTAACCGGGCACCCAATTGGTCACTATTTTGATGACTGATGATAACTTTAGTCATTTTTCAAGAAAAATGTTTTCACCAGTTCCAGTTTGTCAAATGGGAGGATTTGATGCTTTTCTCTTTGTTGTAACATTTTAAACTGAGTATCTTTGGGTTTTGGACTACTGATCAGATAAAACAAGCAACATGATGACGTCAATTTGGGTCATGAGAAAATGTAATGGCATTTCATCACTAAATGATCAATTAGTTAATAGAGAAAATAATCGGATAAATCTATAATGAAAATAATTCTTAGTTGTAGCCCTGAAAATCACCTTTACACTACTGCCACCATTGAAAGTTAAACATGTTGTTTTTGTGAGTGTGAGCTTTTAAGCAGATCTTCCCTTCATTTGAACACATTATGAAAATGAACTTGCAGAAACAGGAAAAACGTGTCTGGATGAAGTTATCCATCACAGTGAACACTGTGCCTGCTTTTACTAACGTCAAGGAGTGTCAAGTGTTATTGATGAGTGGTCATGCCGTGCAGCCTCTTTAAATCAGTCTTCACTCACAGCTGTATTACTAACCAACAATTAAATAACAATACACTGACAACAAATAAAGCGGATATGATGTTCACTGTGATGGATTACCTACTTTACCTCAGGCAAGTTAAAAGTCTCTGCAAGTTAATTGTTGTGGATGTTATTACATGCAGAGAAAATTGGCTTGCAGCTAAATTACACATTCTGCATGTGTTGTGCTGTTGAAAGTGCTTTGCCTTACATGCTTTCACAGAAGCGGGCGAGAGTGCTGGGCTTCTCTTGGTTGCGGCGTTGTCTGAACCAGCGCTGGATGGTCCGCACATCCCAGTCAAGCTGCTTGGACAGGCCCTCCAACCTCTTCTCATCTGGGTGCTGGCGAGACAACATAAACACTCTGAATGTTAGATGTAGCTTTCATCGTGGGGGCCCAAATATTATGAGACGAAACACAACAGTGAAAAATAACACACAAAATAAAAATAACACATGCACCACCTTGGTTATAGCAGTGAAAACCTTCTCCAGGATGGCGTTGGGTTGTGCTTTTTGTGGCCCGTTGGTTTGGATCTTCAGGCCCATAGCACATGGTCTTGCAATAAACCTGCAATTAAAATAGCATGACACCAATTCTAGATCAATACAGAGACAGCATCTTTGAGCTGGATTAAAAGTGAGCGAGAGAGAGCTCTTTTATTCTACCAGGACAATGTTTTGACCACAAATAGTCATCCACAGGACATCTGGAAGAAGTTTTACATCTCCATGGAGAATAAAACAAGAATTTGGGAATGACACAGCAGCGTGAAGCTAGACATTTGGCATTATAAAGCACTTTAAAAATCATAGTACGGTCTGCAACTGTCTGATCACATCGGGTCACACACTGGGGCTGTTTCAGACCAACAGGGATACTGAGCACTAGTGAGGAGTTTAGTGGTGAAATTTAAGGTCTCACTCACTACTCCCTAAAGAGACTCCTGACCCACATAATGCAGGAGCAGCACCATGGAGCTGTGCTTCACTAGTATAATGATGATTGTACAATAATCAGTCATAGATGGGATGATGCAACATGCACAATATCATAACTGGAGCAGTAGTAGTTCAAAAAAAGCTTGTTTTTAGCATCATGCTCTGCTTAAGAAAAATCAGACTTGAAGCTGAGAGGTCACTAACTGGATTTCGGGCTGGTTTGGCAACTTGGCTGCACTATGTGTGTGTCTGTGTCTGTCTGTGTGCACTGGACAGATGCATCAAATGCAGCCAGCGCGTACTGCTGCAGGCCTGCACAGAGAGAAGGATGATCAACCCCGGTGATTTGTGGGCTAACCACATAAGATGCCTATTGTTTAGGTAACGGGGCTGACAAAACACGGACAGCGGGGCAGTGTGCTGCATCATCCGCCGGAATATTACACCTCGAACATAACATATTAAAACCCCCACATCCCCAAAACCAACCTGGATTAACCGCATGTGCTTTTATAGCCACCCACCTTTCGAAAACCAGCCGGATCATAAAGATGCAGAATGCTAAAGGACACGCCAGATAGAGGTCCTCGGCTTGCGGGAACGTCGCTTCATCTGTGTTTTTTAAGTCAGCCCAGGTTACATTATGGGGGAGCCAGAACCTCTCGTTCCAAAACCACGCCAGAATACCGGCCATCTCTTCCCTGCAGCAAGACACCGTGACCGGGTTGGGAAAAAGACAAATCGATGGCCCCGCTGTGTGTCGGGAGGTCTCGCAGGCGATCTGGCCGTGCAGACTCGGCTGATGATGAGATATCCGTGAGAGAGAGAGAGAGAGAAAGAGAGAGTTAGACGAGAGGGCCTCACCCGAAGAGGTGAGAGACAGAACCGAACTGATTTCCCCCTCAGCCTAATTCCTGTGTGGGACAGATAGAGTCCAATCTAGGCTCCTCCGCTGATTGGTGCGTTGACAGATCTGCTAATATTACAGTCTGCTTGTAACAGATAGATCAAGGTAAACTACTTCTCGCTCTCACGACCTTTGTTTATATGTGTTTTTTCTTTTATTGTTTTATAGTTAACACTAACAGGTAGGTATATTAAGTTTCCCACACACCATTGTAGAAGTGAGTGTTATTTTTTGTTCTTGTTTGTTATGTTTTGTCTGTTTTATTATGCAGGATCACACAATGTGCTGCTCTCGACGCCGGTTCATCTTTAGTGTAGTATATCAATTATTGTTCAATCTTAAGCGTGGATCGATGTTAGTGCGTTTTTACGCTGATTCTAAAGCTGATATTGGAATGGCTTTAACACATACATGTAATGTATATTAGGTAAACCAACGCCACCTACTGGCCCTCCCCTTGGGCTGTCAGTACCAGTCTGTGAGATCTTCAACCTGACTGTAAATAACATAATATCATTCATTATAGTGCCCTAATAGTCTTATACTTTTCTTGGGAAAAAACAACAACAAACACTTCTCTCTTTGTTTAAGCAATTTGGGGTAACTATAGTTACAATGACATGTAAAACTAGGAATGCTCTCGTATTTATTTAATAACATATATATTATCATATATTTATAATTAATATATTAGTAAATAATATAATATTATATGAGCTGTATTTGTGGTGCTTTTGAACTGTATTGCATCATAAAGAGAGTGTAATATATTGTCCAGCAATTTATATCAGTTAAATCAAAAAATATCTTTAAAACCAGAGGTGAAAAGTAACTAAGTACATTTATTCAAGTGCTGTCCTTAAGTACAATTTTGACCTACATGTAATTTACTTGAGTATTTTCATTTTTTGCTATTTTATACTTATACTCAACTACATTTCAGAGTGGTACATATTATACTTACTTACTCCACTGCATTTATTTTACACTTATAGTTACTAGTTCTTACATAAAAACATGTAATATTCTTATATAATGTGATGCAGAACTATAGTATTGATGTGCCTAGTAGTATACAAAGCTTATCTGAAATTGGCTCTGCATCGACAAACTACAACATTAAAATGCTCTTACATGTATTTGTTAGTGAAAATATAGAATTATTTTAGAATATTTTATAATAGTATAACACTGTGAAAGGAGCCATTCTTCAAAATGAATACTTTAGATACTTTCAGTACATTTTTCTGATAATTATGTATTTTTACTTGCGTAAAATATAGAATTCAGGACTTCAATTACTTTTACTTTACTATTTTTAGACTTTATTAATTCTACTACTAAATCTGAGTACTTCTTCCACCACTGTTTAAAACAACACCAAAAAAACGAACATTATAATCTTCATGAAAGTAGAATTTATTGCACAGTTGTTGTATTAAACTGAATTAGTTTTAGCTTTATGTAAACAGTGTATATACATATATATTCCATGAACACAGTACAAAACCTGAGCATAAGATTTTTATTGTTTTATATACTTTTATGTCTAATATAATACAAAATAATAATTAAATGTTTATAGTATTATAATAGATACGCTCCACATTATCTTTCTACCACAGGGTATATTTAGGAACTCGGTAGTGTAAAAGTAGACACACATTATATAGAAAATATAACAAATAGGGCAACAGCTAAGGATTATTTTCAATTAGATCAGTTTTCCAATTCATATAAGTCTATAAGAAAAGAGTGAAAACTTCCAGCAACAATCCCCTAGAACAGAAGATGTCATCTTAAAATTACTTTTTGTTGTCCTACCAACAGTTCAAAACCCAATGATATTTAATTTCACTGTCCCATAAAACAAAAAAAAGCACAAAATATTAAATTCAAGAAGCTGGAAGCAGAAAAAAATCTAACAGACTTTTTCATAGCTCATGAAAACAGCTCGTATGTATGTAAAACTCTGCAGTGTGTATTCAGTCTGGAGCAACATCTCCCCCAGTCACCATACAGATGTGATGTGATGGCGCCACCTACTGTCCACTGTTAACAACGTCGCTTGCAGTTGTCGGGCTGCATGTGACATGAAATCGTCACACTATTACGTGCCACTGTCTCACAAGCAGCTGCACAAGTGGTTTTATTTTTTACTTCATAAAAATAAAACAACATCCAAAATAGTTAACATAACAGTCGACGAAGACATTAAATAAATAGAAAAAAAAATATACTAAAAACACACAATTAATGGAAGTTTTCTCTCAGGAAGCGGCCTCTTAAAGATGATTAATGGTGATTTAATGACAGTCTTCCTGTACGTATTGAACCACTGTGCAGTCAATCGTCATGTCACTGGGCACGGGTTAGTGCGTGCGTGTGCGTGTGTGTGTGCGCATGTGTGCGGTCCGTTATTTTCCGGGTTGTGTTTCATCGCTGGCTGTAGTTGCTCTGCTTCAGCTGCCAGCTGACACTTGTACGGAGGAGGTGAGGTCAAAATTGACTGTCTCTCTCTCTCTCTCCCCGTGTCTGTCTGCCTGTCTGTCTGTCTGGCTAAAGAGAGACAGAGGCTGCTAACTAGCGCAGAATCACCACCACCACCACCATCATCATCATCATCATCATGGCGGATCAAGGCGAATCTCCGGCTCCCGTCCACCACCCGCAACCAGCGCCGACAACCAGCTGGCCAATTACCAGGGAGTCGTACGAGCTGCAGGAAGTCATAGGTTAGTACCGGGGGATGCGATGAGTGGGCTTACATGTTATCACGGGGGGAAAAAAGGCACGCCGCGGCCGGTTATCAGCTGTGAATGACGATGAGGGGCCTACCGGCGTTTTTCATATGCAGTAGCCTCCTGCAATGCTTTGCAATGCGGATGTTAACAAGCACATTATAGAGACTACCGGTCCACGGCCACTGGGACTTAACGGATGTAAAACACACAGCACGAGGCTGGAAGTGTCATCTTCCCTAAGTGCGTTTTTGTGTGTGTGTGTGTGTGTGTCTTCTTCCAGTGGTTCAGATATTAAAAGAGACCCTAACTCCAGGTATATGTCAGTGTATGTGTGGCACGTGTCCAGTTTAATGCCTTTATTAAAATCACAGATGTGTAAATCCACATTGTGTTATTGCAGTTGTCTGTGGTGGCATGTGAAGCAGCATTAAATAAGCTGTCACAGCATCTCAAAGTGGTACAACTGTAACTTTTACTTGACATATTAATAATAATAATAATGATAATAATAATACAACTGATGATAATAATATAATAAGGCATTGTGTTGCCCTACATAAAAAGTGAGAGACTAGTTCATAGCAGGGCTGTAACTAACTATTACATTTGTTATTGATGAATCTGTTGATTATACTCTGTAAAGAAACTAATGAAAACCGCTCGTCATGTTTTCTCAGAGCCCAAAGAGTGATGTCTTAATATTTACAGAGGCATTAAATGATCACACTGGAAGCTGGAACAGTGTTTTTTTTTACATTTTTTCCCCCTTAATGATTAAAAGATTAACAGATTACTGTTATAGTTGGCGATTAATATTCTGTAAAACTGTTTCAACACTTACTCCCAAAATAGCTGTTGGTCAACTCAGTGAACTCAGACACGCTCACTCACTTGTTAGGCCGTGTTTATATATACCTCAAATGAAAACCATTGATATTTTACAGCCATCGTGTGTTTAATGCATGTTGTTATTATGACTAACCCTGTGGGTACGCGCCTTCGGGCACTATTACTTGAAAGACTCTGTGGTAGATTTTCTTCTTGTAAGTTTCAAAAAGTTATGTCTCATTCACAGAAAGCTTGAATCATTTAATTTTAGAAATATTAATTACGAAATATAACAACAACAAAAACCTTACATGTACGCAAAAAGTGAAAATGGTTCCCTGAATATTTTTGGCAAGTGCTTGCACTGTACAGATGAGCTGACAATTCATATCGTCACTGATAAGGAAAGAGGACCACAGCTGTGTGCTGCTGACTGTGGGACCCCCCTCACTGTTCTCATAATCAACTGGTAAACAGTCAGATCTCATGTGTTCTCTCCGTCTCCTTATCTACAGCTAACAGTTGGCAAGCAATATGTTGTGTGTCACAGCTTCTCGGTGTGAACAACTTCACTACTGCAGCGTGGCCTGATTTGCAATGAACAAAGTAAACAACCCATCACGTTGTTGGTGGTAATGGTGTTGGTGGTGGGGGGGGGGAGTGCTGTACTCAAAGTCAGCTTATGTTCGTCTAATGTTTCAGCCAGCACACATGAAAGATGAATACCATAACATCAACACAGAAAACTGAGGAACAGCAGGCCAGCCATGGAGCAGAGTGATGCTCCGTTTAAGAGTTGTCTTCCAGCTGTGTGTGCTTTGACTCTCTCTTAAGCTGCTGTCCACTTTGTCATTGCTCTGTTGTGGTTGTGATTCCAGGCAGCGGGGCCACAGCTGTGGTACAGGCAGCCCTCTGCACCCCCAGACAGGAGCGTGTCGCCATAAAGAGAATAAACCTGGAAAAATGCCAGACTAGCATGGATGAGCTATTGGTGAGTACAATAAATATGGGCTTATTTTTCTCAGTCTGTGTGAACAGAGTGCTTTTGTAGCGCTCTCTAATGCTGCACTTTCCCTCTGATCAATATTATTATTGTTCTGTGTAAGCCTGAATATTAATTAATGCACATAAGAAGTTGTAATAAGTCATTTGCTGTAAGGTATATCACTGATTCCTATTACTATGGTTCCTTATATATAATAAACACGTGGCGATTAAAAGATAAAATGTTTGACATGTCATATCCTGACGTTTCTCTCTCACAATAGAAAGAAATCCAAGCGATGAGCCAGTGCAACCACCCCAACGTTGTCACCTACTACACCTCCTTCGTAGTGAAGGATGAACTTTGGTTAGTCATGAAGCTTCTGAGTGGAGGTGAGCTTCAGCTGCCGAGCTACACAGAGTCAAATCCCACATCTGATTATACAGAATGAATGCGTTGTGACTGTGATGATGATATGATGTGTTTAGCTGTCTGGGTTATAACTCACTTAGACTAGAGCTGTCTATTTATATCTACTTAGTTAAGGGGACAACTGGCAAGAAATAAGGCAAAGTTAAAGTAATTGTTGAATAAAATAATCAAACAGCTGCATTTCAGTCACTATTTTCCATGATGTATCCTAAAAAGACATCAGATCTTGCTTTATTACAGTTATGTGGAGGCAGTAGTACACTAGTGCTATAGTAAATAACATCTGTGGTCTGATGATGTTCCTTTTGCACATCCTTACGGCACTCACATGTGTTACTCTCTTTAATGTACTGCCTTTTACTGCTTAAAGGACAACAAGCACTTAACAGACAGCAATAATTTGTGCCTGGTCATAGATATTGATCATTTTACGACTCAGAGTAACACTGCAGCTGATTTGTGTTTCTTATTAATGTGTGAAAAATTAACTGAATATATTTTGTTTTCTGCTGTGTGTTTTTTTAAATTTTTTTTTTTAGGCTCTATGCTGGATATAATTAAGCACACAAGCAAAGAGGAGGACAGAAATCGAGCGCTAGATGAGCCTATTATTGCTACTATATTAAAAGAAGTCCTGGAGGGCCTGGACTATCTGCACAGAAATGGACAAATTCACAGGTAACACTTTTAACATTTTAACTTATTTTGGATAATGCTCCTACAGATAGTTTAGAGTATTTAGAGAACTTGTAACATTCAGAAGCTAATTAATTGAGATTCAAGCATTTTCTGATATTTCACCATTGTGGTTAAGGTTTAGGCACAAAAACATCTTGTTTGTGCCTCATGTTCATGAATTGTCACATATATATTATAGATAATCTGTTAAACATCTACAGACAAAGCAAAACAGATTATCCAAATAAAGTGTTACCATTTATTCGTTTATTATAAAAATTAAGAGTAGTAAGGGAGCCTGGCAGAAACAAGGTCAGTTATATGATGTGTTTGGAAGATAAAATGTTGTAATTGCACTGTAAGATGCTCTGGATGAGAGAGTTGCACAATTGGCTAAAGTTGTCTGACAATATAAAATTAAAACCAATCATCTAATTGTATTTATTAATCAGTGCAGTTGTTTTGTTCTGTAAAGTCAAGGTCACTGAAATTCAGGCTTCTATCAGTCCCTTGGGCAGAGTTCCAGATGGTGGTGGCTGTGGGACTAGTTTACACAGACGGAAGAATCAATGCTGCTCCACATGACTTTGTTGTTTGTGTGTATTTTGTTGACCTCAGGGATGTGAAAGCTGGGAACATACTACTGGGAGAAGATGGATCTGTTCAGATTGCAGGTGTGTTGAAGGCGGTACTACTGCTACACTAATGTTTAATTTAATCAAACTAAAATCACTGAAAACTGAATTAACAGATTGTATTTGTTCATTCAGAAGGTACAAAGCTAATATCCAGTTCTTTATCTGTCACAACAGTGGCTTAACACAATTTCAAGTTAAAAATACTGTTTTTTTCTCATTTCTCATTCTCGTTTATATTTGCTAAAAAAGTCTTGACAGCAGCCGTGGTCCTTTATTACAGAACAATACATTACAAATAATAAACATCCACCACATTAAACAAGCACAGAAATGAACACAATTAATTATGCATTATAGCAAGAACATTTTGTAATAAAAACTTCAGTTAGCTTTTGTTTATAACTGGTTAGAGAGACGACTGAGCCAAGTTTGAGCCTAGTCTGCAGGTCATTCCAAGACCAAGGACAATAGTAAAGTGCACTGCTTGTTTATCGTCATTTTCAGATTTTGGAGTAAGTGCGTTCCTAGCCACAGGCGGGGATATGACTAGAAACAAAGTACGAAAGACCTTTGTTGGCACACCATGCTGGATGGCGCCGGAGGTGATGGAACAGGTGAGTGTGTCTCTTCATACAAAAAGGCGGCGACATGTTTTAAACAACTTAAATCACAACATTAACAAAACGCTCCAGATACTTTTATTATGTTATATATAGATTATATTTGATATCACAGATTATTTTAATTTTATACCCACAGGTTCGAGGCTATGATTTCAAAGCAGATATATGGAGTTTTGGAATTACAGCCATAGAGTTAGCGACAGGCTCTGCGCCCTATCACCGCTACCCTCCCATGAAGGTGAGTGTTCTGGATGTGTCCTAATCACAAATGTCCTTGTAGCTTTCACCAGCACAAAAAATAAACTCTTGGCTTACTAAACATACTCATAAACCAGCTTGTATCGGTGAAGTTTTATCATGAACGTACTGAGAGAACACATTTTTACTTGCTTTTGCTGTGATTGTGAAACCAAGCAATTAATGAATAAGCAACCTTTTGTCTTGAGGAACTTAAGCATTTCTTCTACAAAGTTTCCTGCTTTGAGTTTCTTTTCCTCATCTGCAATATTTGTGTTGCTGCTGAAATGTGGGGGCGGTTTTGACCATTTTTTTCCCCCCTGTGTTTTTAGGTTTTAATGCTTACTCTACAGAATGATCCACCCACTCTAGAGACGGGTGTAGAGGACAAAGAAGTGCTAAAAAGATATGGCAAATCATTTAGAAAGCTAATAACTATGTGCCTTCAGAAGGATCCTGCCAAAAGGTTAGCACCACATTCCATATATCAACCAAATGTTTCAGTGAAGAGAGTTGATGCAATGTGTGATCAATAGAAAGCACCTGATTGATATTCAAAGAGTGCTCTGTTGTGATGTATTTTCAACAATTGTACTTTTCTTTATCTCTAGGCCTACAGCTGCAGAGCTTTTGAAGTGTAAATTCTTCCAAAAGGCCAAGGTATTTGTTTCATCTCAAATATTTGACTTGCCATCTTTTTTGTTATTAATGTTATCTCAACATTTATGTTTATGATGGTCAAGATCCAGCAAACAAATGTCCACGGACACTGTATTTATCCTAATATACTATTGCAGAAATAATTACCAGAAAAAGGAAAAAATAAATCCCTTATTTAATTCTATATCCTTGTATATGTCTATTGATTATACTGTAACACAGTGACTGCAACTTTCTGGACCGTTTATAGTGAAATGCTTAGTATTTTCAATAATGTAGTATAATAATGATTTATAAGTGTGTCCTGATGAGATAGAATAGTTATTTGTATCACTGTATTGTTTCCATTGCAATGGGTTTAGTCACTGGTCTAATTCTTAACATACTTAAAAACATAACTTAAAAACTTCCATACACCTTTTGTACTTCAACCAGCCCCATTAATTTTTTAGGGCTACCATTTAAAAACACAATACCTGGGATTTTTGTGACTCATTATTAGGTTTTCTCAGTTCACTATGTTTTATAATGATATTTTGATTAATAGTTTGATTTTGCTTCCTTGCAGAACAAAGAATATCTGGTTGAAAAGCTTTTGTGTCGTGCACCAAAGATTTCCCAGAGAGCGAAGAAGGTATGTTTACGCAAACGTTCCTTGTAAAATAACTCAGTTATTGACTAAACATGAACAAATTATGGCAGAGTGCCGGGATCGACTGAAGTATTCCTCTCCACCAGAGTGTTCCATTTACAGTCAACACGAGCTACGCACTCTGACTTTCTTCAGCAGCTCAAACACTTCGTGCACAAACTGTTGTGTAGATTATGTAAAAATATGGGTCACTGCAGCATAATAGTCAAACGGCATTGATGTATGGACACATATTGTGTCAGTGTCTCCCAGTGCAGCTCTCTCTCCATGTGGCCCAATAAAGGCAGACAGGATTAAATGAATTGGTAACATTAGATAACAGAGAGAGGACATTATTGCTTGCTCAGTTGCCCACTGGTCACAATTTAGTGGGAGGAAGTGCAGTTTTCAGGCACAGCTGATATTGGCTTCACATAACACTCCGCCTGGATGGCCAGGACAGAAATGGGAACAGAGGGCCATTGCCGGGAGGCAGAGTCGCCGGGTGGAGGGGTGGAAATTCACTGACTGGTCGGGAGTAAATGGAGGGCATAGTGGATAGCAGGGTTGTTGCTGTGTATGACGTTAACATTTACGCACGGACAGGGCAGAGTGTCAATAAAGAGGAAGGGAACTGTTGTGGGAATGGCATAATGTCATTGAGCTTTGTTTATGTGGTAACCACAAGCATCTAGCAGTCATAACAATTAATGGAAAGGTACTTATTGCTAAATAGGTATGTGGATTTCCTATATTCAGCTTTGCCAATACAGTGTGTAACAGTCTAAATGTTTTCCAGTGTATACATCCGAAACAATGGCGGTTTGTGAATATACTTTTACAGACTAAAACTTAGACTAGAAAGATTCAGCAGATTTTTTTAGTCACATATATAAGTACGTATAGTGAAACGTTGTTGCTTAAAAATACCTAAATGATAAAAGCTAAGCTATAAACAAAATACCAGATAAAAATATACCAAAATAAGCAAAATGTACAAAAATAATTAGATAGTAAGCATAGTTAAAAGTGAATATTTATCCCAAAATGTAAATGTACTATTACTGGGCGCTTACTGTAATAATGAT